CTGAGACCAGACAGCTGTAACTGGCTTTATTCTGGGTTTCTCCCTCTCCAGTATGCCCGTTCCATTTCCAACACTGATATTGCCCAGCACAAAACATTATCCTGTTCTGCCTTATAGCCCAGGTCCTGGATTATTAGGAGGTTCTTATATTTTTCTCACCACCCTCTTTTTTTAAGTTTGTTTCTCCCTCTCTAAATTTTGAAGACAGAGGTAAAAAGCCAGCAACAGCATAATCTAAAGTTTTAAACATACAGAGTAAGAAAAAGGAGAATGTATAAATTAATTTTAAAAGTAAAATTTATTTGAGTGACTTTGGCTTATGACTGGATGATCAACAATTAGCACCTATAAGAGAATATTTAGAGCTTGGCTGCTGGGAAATAATTTCCTGGCATCTGTCATAAGAAACAAAGGACCATCTTGATCATTTTATTAAAATATTCCCCTGGGGTGCATGAGGCAGGCAGTGTGAAGACAACCTGCAGGTTGTGGAGAAGGTGGCAGAGAGGGCAAAATGTTCTAAAACAGGGAAAGCACATCTCTGTAACATACTTTGACTATTGAGGAAAAATGCTTTTTCTTTCCAGTGTCATAGCTGCAATGCTCAGTAGTGGAAGGAGGTGATACAATGTCACTTTGAGCAGAAGTGTGAGACAGATGTCTGTGGAGGGGGAAAGGTAATTTGTTCAGTGGAAGAAGGCTGGGTTTTTATTGTTGTTGAAGCGAGTGATGAAATAATCACAACTGAGAGGTAACCCTGTCAGGCCTTCCTGGCCCCTTTGATGCCCTAGGACGCTTAGGGTTGGTTTGATTTTTAGTTGCAGTGTTGGAGCCAACCACATATGGGAACCAGGAAAATTAGATAGTGTTAAAATTATGGACTGGGTGAATTAGCACCTTCTTTTAAAATAAACTCATTGCTATCCAGAAGCAAAGTGTATTTACGTACAGGTTAGTAACAGGCTAAAGTGACTCCTCAGCACAAGAGCTGCTGGCTCTGCTGACATGGAAGGGAGCTGCCAGCATCCTTGTGCTGAGGTATGTGTGTGGCTCATACTTCTGCATAAACATCTCCAAAAAAACCCAACCAAGAGCCAGCACTATTGACAAAGCAAAGGCCAGCTCTATTTATATCTGCAGTAAGGCTGTGAGAATGAAAAGATGCTTTAATGTGTCCCAAGGCCTAGATGAAACACTGAAAATGTTGCTTTTAAGAAAGAAAATATAATAATATCCCCTTGAAATCCCAGGGAAATGTGTGTGACGGACTTCTTGAGAGCAATATCAAAGAACTGAAATAGAAGTTGTAGAGCATAGGGAGTTACTGCAGTTATGGGCTTTAAATTGGTTTAAATCTTTGCTTTCAAGCTTTTTTTCCTAAGTATCTCTTTAAAAGTAACACTTTAATGAGAAGGAAAATGTTTTACTGCCTCTGAACTCTAGCAGCAGTTGCAGATCTGTCAGACCTTACTTTATTTTGGAGTGTAAATCCTTTCTCTACAGTTGCTCTGGCTGTCTGGCCCCCCTTGCTGGTGTCAGACTCCTGGGGAGGCACGTGGAGGTTGTCAGGGATGGCGTGAATGTCTGCAGAGGAGGACAGATGGGTGAAAATGTTCTTTCAGCACAGGTTTTGCAGCTTTAAAGTTAGAAAGGAAAAAAATGTTCATGTTCTTAAAGTGTTTTAGGAGCTTCTGGGAGTTTTTTAAGGCAGTTGGAAAACTGGAAAATTGGAAAAAAGGAAAATATTTACTCAGAATACCCTGTTTTATTTCATCTTGCTGGGTCCTTCAGCAGCTTTGCTCACCTGGTTGTATCATGTCATTAAGCACGTGTAAAATTGGCTCCTTGAGCAATTTGAGGACTTCTGAGTGGGTTTGCAGGTTTCCCAGCTCCTCTATTGGCACTGACACTTTCTCTGAGAAGCCTCATCCTAAGTCATTATTTTGGCCTCATTAATTTAGGAGAAAGGTTGCAAAGAGCAGTGCTAACCAAGCAGGACACACCAGTCAGAGGCCATCACCTCCCTGTTCCCCGCTTCTGTGACATCTGTGGATCCTCACCCAGATTCCCCCAGCCAGGCTCTGGCCGCTCCAAAACCAACACGTGCCTGATGCATTTTATTTCCTGGTCAATAGCTGCTGTGTTAATTTCTAGCTTGTGCTTTTGTCTGCTTCTACTAGATCAGACTGCTATCCTAATTTAGTTAATTTGAGAATCCCACTTGGCAGAAGAAGAGGTGGGCAATAATCATATAGGAATGTATTGATTTTTATTAACCGCATCATCCAAGAGTTAAATGAAGGGAGCAAACTATAAAGCTTAGGATATTTGTTAAAGTTGAAAAGAGATCCGGTTTTGAGTTGTGGAATTTGGTTTTTTGAAGCATGAATAATTATATTCACCCTTTGCCCTTGGAGCAGGAAACGTTCTTTGCTTGGACCATTTGCAGCCCTGGGCACACTGCTGACACTCATCAGATAACTGTTGTTATTATTAACAATGCACAGATGTATTGGCAATTGCTTTTTGGTAGTCAGGCCAGCTGGAAAGGGTATGAAAGAACTTATTAAAGACTGGTATTTCAGTGCATGTTAGATGAAAAGGAAAATAATTTCTGGTTATCTGCGTAATTAAAGGCATGCTCTGCAAAGGCAAACAAGCAAAGGTAGTGCATGCACAATTCTGAAGGCCAGCCACTTTAGCTTCCTGAGAGGTATAACAGTAAAGCTGTATTTTTACCGTCTTTTGTTCCTTAGATGCCTATTTGCAAATGTGATGGGCAGGTGTGTTTGTGCTATTTATGTTAAAAGAAGGTGAAGGTTGTAAGGACGAGCACCTTGAAACTGGGAAACTCCAGGGTTGCTGTTGCTCCTGCAGTCTCAGGGTTGGCCCAGCCTGGCTGGCTGTGTGACTGCTCTGTGTGAGGGAGCTGCACACAAAGAGCAGGTCAGCCCTGGCCAGTGCCATGCCATGGCCCTGTGCTGTGCTCTGCCCGTGCTGCCTGCTCTGCCCATGCTGCCTGCTCTGCCCGTGCTGCCTGCTCTGTCTGTGCTGCCTGCTCTGCCTGTGCTGCCTGCTCTGCCTGTGCTGCCTGCTCTGCCTGTGCTGCCTGCTCTGCCTGTGCTGCCTGCTCTGCCTGTGCTGCCTGCTCTGCCTGTGCTGCCTGCTCTGCCTGTGCTGCCTGCTCTGCCTGTGCTGCCTGCTCTGCCTGTGCTGCCCCTCAAACTCAGTGCTTGAGGTGGGTAGAGGCTCCAGGCAGAGGCTGCAGGCACAGCTCCCAGCCAGCTGGGCTGCCAAGGTCCCCTCTGCCTCAAAGCCATGGGCCTCCTCCCAGGTTACCCCACATTCACTGGTGCAGGGGGAAGCCAAGCAAATCCTGATTCCTTCTGCTACCTTTGTAAAGACCATTTCAGGGCACCATCCAACTTCCTCCCACCTCTTCCTCACTCCTGATGCAGGACAAGAGAAGCTGCACAGCCCATCTTTAGCCAAGAAATGCTCTCAGATGAAATCCCTCTTGCTTGTTTCCCACACCTCAGCACCCAGCCAGCTCCTAACAAATCTGCGCTGTATTGTTGTCTCTCTGATTTCCTGTTGTTGATTGGGCTGATTTTAATTGCCTTGCTTTTTCAGTTGTTTTTCAGCTCATCAGGAAGGATAATTAAATAAAATCTTGCCCTCTGTGCTCCTGTCCACCCATTGTAGCGCCACTGGCAGAGCAGGTTATCTGAAGGACAGTGAAGGCAGCTTGGAGGCTGGTTGTTAAGCATTACATTATATGAAACACATTAAATTGCTCTGAATGAGGAGGAAACATGTCTCGATCATCAAGCTGATGGACATTAACAGTCTTCTGCCACAAGTTTGTTAAATTTGAACTAGATTTAGCTACTGCTTTCCTCATTCCCATTCTGCAAGGAAAGCTGTGGACAGGAAACTGGCAAGGAGTAGGAGGCATAAATTCAAGATACCCACAGCTTGGACCAAAAGCCTTATATAAATCCTTTGGATTTCTAGACTGTAGAGAAATACAGTTGGCATTACTGCCTTCTGTTGACCAAGCAGGAAAGTTTAACAGCTAGTCCAGGATATGAATGCTTAAGAACCTGGAGGTCGCTTTAAGATTTGAGGGTGGTTTAAATGTTATTGCTGAGGAAGAAGAAGGGGAAGTAACACATTTCTCAACATTTCCAGGTTTACAAAACCTGTATGCTGAGTTAGAGGCTGTTAGAATTGGCTCAGTCTCAAAATTAGAAAAATTGTGGGCAAAAATATGTATATGTGACATGCAAGCAGGGAACCAGATCTTTTTTCAGCTTATTGCTAATATTTGTGTTTGCTGTCTTTTCAGAAAATGTGAAACTGAATTTTGAAAGCTTGTCTATTGATTAATAAGGGCTTTTGTAGTTTATATCCCTCTTGAGCATCACTATTAGAAGACACTAGAACTTCCCTGCTCTTTGCTACCATAGACCAATCATCTCAGCGATGCAGAGAGGACTCCTACCTTGCTGGGCACTTGTAATAAGCCAGTGTCAGTGTTTCCTAGCTGTAAGTTAGCACAAAAACCAATGCTGAGGATTTGTGTGAAGAGGAGAGGCTACTTTTGCATCTGTTGGCCATGATGGATGAGCTAGGATTTAATGCCCTCTCTCTGGTTCTGTGGCAGAGCAGCATGCAGGTGGAGAAACCCTGGAGGTTCAGTAGGAACCAAGGTGCTGGGACAGGCACGCACCACGCCTCATTCTGACTGCCTGGCTGCCAATTACATGGCAATTAGCAGAATAAATGCCTGAGAAAAGTTTCCCCTTCCCCAACCATTTCATGGTTTGGTCATTGTTCAGGGGGCAACGTATCTCTCCAAGCTACCTTGACTTTTTTGTTAACCTTAATCACTCATAGGATGTTAATTATACCTCTAAGCTGATGAAGCCCAAGTTGCTCAGCCTTGTCCCCTTGAGCCGGCATGTCTCTTCACTTCTCTCCTTTGTCTTTCCCAGAGGTCAAAAATAGCAGTCTACGAGAAAATGTGGTCATACATGAAGTCGGCTGAGCCCTCAGTGTTCACCAAAACGACGGCGGATGGGGTGGCGAGGGTGCGGAAGTCGAAGGGGAAGTTTGCCTTCCTGCTGGAGTCGACGATGAACGAGTACATCGAGCAGCGCAAGCCCTGCGACACCATGAAAGTCGGCGGCAACCTGGATTCCAAGGGCTATGGTGTAGCAACCCCCAAAGGCTCAGCATTAAGGTGGGTGGAATAATATAACAATATCCATGTTGTTATAGTATTCCACCTACCCTGATGTATTGTGTTGTCATTTTCTTTCTTGTGGATTTTGAGGTAACTTTAAAGTTTAAAATCTTCAATATTCCATGGAGTTAAATAAGACGGTAAATGATGGTTTTGTTTATTTAATGCATCCATTTTTTTAGTGTTTTCTTCGTGTTGTCCTTTCTGATTGTTTGTTGCTGTTTTAATTTTACAGTTCAATGGCTTTTTCAATTTAAATGGTAAAGCCGAGTTAACCTGCCATATGTGACGAATGTTAGCTGCATGATGTGGTGTTCTTGTTACTTTTTTCTCAAAGACGATTTCCCCATCCCGCACACTTCAGTTTTGAGCAAATGTTATCCTCCATGCCACCTTCCAATATTTAACCCTGTATTTGCTGTACAGACATTTTGATAGCTCCACGTTCTGTGAAATTTTAGCCAATTTGTCCTCTTGTGCTCCTTTTTTTATACGTTACGATTTCCTAAGCATTTGTGCATTTTTTCTTACAAGTTATGTTTTATCGTTTCAAGAAATGCTGTTAACCTGGCAGTATTAAAACTGAATGAGCAAGGCCTCTTGGACAAATTGAAAAACAAATGGTGGTACGACAAAGGAGAGTGCGGCAGCGGGGGAGGTGACTCCAAGGTCAGCCTCAATGTCACCACAATCGGGTACCTTAGCAAAGAGTAATCGGCAAGGCTGTTATTTTACTTCTCAAGCAAAAAAAACCAAACCAAACCAAACCCAAAAAGAATGCATATTAAAGACATTTGAATAATTGTGGTGGAGAAAAAAGAAAAAAAAAGCCATCTGCTTGCCCAGTAGCTCTTTCAAAGAAACGGTCTTATTTAATATTGCCAACAGGCTTGATCAAGCTTGGAAACCTTATTTAACTAACAGATAGAAAGTCTGGTATTGGTGGGACCTATGCAGAGCACATCAGTGCTTTTAACTGTAGAAGAAAACAGTGATCGTGTCTGGCTGCCACACTTAACCCCTGAGGACAAGGTCCTTCACCACGAAAGTGGTTTTTGAGAGGGGTTTTTTCACTGGGGTCAGCTGTGCCAGCACAGACCTAGAGAAAAGAGGATTCACTTCTCCTGCGCTGTTCTGGGGAGAAGCCAAGTGAAACAATATCAGCAAGTACTGCTTTGCTGGCCTGAAGTGGTGCTACCAGAGCCCCTGAGAGGAAGCCTGGTCTCTGGAGAAGAGCTGTTGGTAGGGTCTGTAGCTCAGGGAGAGAAAGGGTGGACATTCCTCCAACTCCTCTAATCACAGAGTGGGATGAAGAGATAAGAGTCAGGCAACAATCCTAGCAAAGACATTATGTTAAGCAGAGATGGTAGTATGTTAATGGTAAAATAACAGCAAGAACTGTAACCTATTAAGGGCTACAGCTTGCAACAGGCAAAGCTGAAACAAGAGAGGTTGTTTGCAACAGGGAAGTGTATTGATGCACTACTGGAAATGAACCTTAAGGAAAGAGATTTTGGTAGTTTTGCCTGGAATATTCAAATGCCACCTTTTGGATGGCAGTGACCTGGCTCTTCAGGCAGCTGTGCAGGAGCACTGCCTCAGTGTTTACTGGCCTTTTGAAACAGATGAGGATGACAGCTCTAGCTCCAGTGACAGCAATGGCAAAGCTGTCATTACCTTCTGCTGAGCTGAGGCTTCCCCAGTCCTTCAGGCAGCCTCTATGGTAGCAAGACTCTCAAAGTTACTTTAAAGAGCTTATGTATTGTTACAAATTAACTAGTGGGCTTTCGTATTTCCAGATTTACCCTGTAAAACTGGCCATTTCTGCAGTCTTTAACCTGATGAGAAGGTGAAACTAAAGTAGATGGGTATTATTGGTCACCTAGAGAACAGGAATTACCAAGAAAATTAATTTAAAATACATTGTTATACCAAAAATTATTGAAATTAATTTTCATAGTGACACTCTCCTACAGCTAGTCAAACCAGTTCCTTAAGGAACAGTAACTCCTAATCTCTCTTATAAAAATGCTTCAGCTTTAGTCCAAAATCAATAACAACAATATTTTCAGTAAACTGCAGTTTCAGAAAATTACTGCAAATTACTGCTGCATTCTGTTAATAAGAGTTGCTTACAGTTGGCTACATAGGAAACTACTCAGCTACTCATCTCTGATGTTAGCAAAAGCCACTGGCTAATAATAAAGGAATTAAAAGCTCAAGTTCAGATATGTTCAATAGGTGGAGGTCTGCAGTGCTCAGCAGCAGCCTCGAGACGAGCATAAGCTTCTTTATGCTTTTTAGCTCTGCTGCTTATTTTTCATGCAACGTTTTTATATAATGTTACACTAGCCAGTATATTAAATGTCTGATACTCTCCTCGGATCCAGCACTGCACTGTCTAATGCTGCCTCCATGAAAGAAAACCCTTAGTACAAACCTGCTTTGATGAACTTCATTGCTTTGTGTTCACTGAATTAAACCCAGCCAACTACTGCTTACAGCCCTAAGGAAGCTAAAAAGGCTTTTTAAAATGGTCATAATTAGGGCAGGACCATCCTTCTATTTTTGCTTTTGCTGAAAGACCTTTTGCAAAGAGCAATACCATCCATTAGCAAGCAGTTAGCCCTGGCCAGTGGATGTTAAAGAGAGCAGAGGCAGGTGGATGTGATGCCATGGATAAGTATGCAAGGAAGAGAGAAGGGGAGCAAACGCGATGACGTGTGTTTTGCTGTTTTAAGCTGTAAATCACCAAGCACTGTCTTTCTGCAGTTTGCCATAGCCCACTGTGACGAAAGACAACTTGTTTGTCTGAGCTACAGACATGGGCTCTGGGGGGGCATGGCTCAGCTTGCACAAGTCCCCAGGGAGCAGAACATGGGTCGGCAAGCTTCCCCTTGCTGGGGGAAATCCTGCGGAGGACTAAGCTAGGGCAGGCGAGGAAGGGGTTAGCTGTTTTGTCTAAAGAGGTTGTAAATCAAAAGCTTTTTTGTTGCAAAGTGGCTTTTCTTTCTAGGTAGCTTTTGTAGGCACTGGATGCTGCAAGCTGCAATGCTGCAGGGTTGCGGCAGACAGGCAGGTGCCTTCCCAGCAGCACTGATGCTGAGTCCAGGCTGTGTCCCAGCTTCCAGGAGCCCTGTCACCCTCTCAGGGACACTGAGAACTGGTATTGTTGTCCAGTCACTACGGCCCTGACAGTCTTGCTGGCCTCTCCTTCCTCCTCTCCATCCTCCCACTCAAGTCCTGAGTTGCGCTCGTCATCTCATCCCATCTCTCTGGTTAATTATTTATACGAACACGGTTTCATTTATAGAGCATTTCAGAGCTTCAAAACTGTTTTTTTTTTCTCTTAAAGGAGGTGGTAGGTGGGGGCAATCAAGAGAGGATGGGGTGGTGAAGGTGCCTCCAGTGGATGCAGACCTTGCACCCTGTCACGCTGGGGGGCACATGGACCATTACTCACTGGGGGCAGCTCTCTCTACCGGCTGAGCTGACAGAACCACCTCTCAGCTGGGCCAGTAGAGACCCGAACTTAGGAAATTGCTGCCCCGAGTTTGTAATCAGCCGTTTCCTCCCTACTGCCAGCGCGCTGTGTGCAGCTGTGAGTGGCTGCAGACTGATGGTGCCAGTTTCTTAAGCTGGATTCCTCTGTGCATACTCTAGCTTGTGCTGAAAGCCAGAGGTAAGTATGCAGCCTGTTTGCTTGTTCATCCTTGTACCTCAGAGCACCCAGTCACCCAGAAAATGCCCTCCCATGCTCATCCTGCAGTTTCACATGCAGTTCACCTGTGCTTGGAGACGAATGATTCTGAGTGGTGAGTTCACCTCTTGTTATCACATCCTCATCACAACTGGAAAATTAAACAGTGACTTGAAATTTTGAAAGGATTTTGAGTCTTTCAGCAGAAAAAAGAAAAGCTATTCCATCAACTTTCCTCAAGTTTTTTAATCTGTTTGGCTGCACAGACTGTAAGGTTAGTCCTGTAAACATCCTACACTCCTGGGGTCTCCATGTAACTTAAGACTAAAGAGATTGTGTTGTTTTAATGAGATCACTTTAAAGGCTTCAGCTGACTTACGTCTCATTTTCAGTGCTACCAGCATGTGCCAGCGCTGGTGTGGAGCAGAGGGTGCCAGTCGGTACTGCCCTGGAGAGGGGAGTTACCCCTTTTCGGCAGCGGTCCTTATTTAAGAAGTCTGAAGGGGGACGTGCTCCATCCATATGTAACTTGTCTGTGATGCATGTCAATACCTGTGGGCTGACTTGGCTGGTGCAGGCACTCTGGTAGGTGCATCAAAATTTGTTCACTTAGCTCTCCTAAATGAGCACGAATTTAGGTTCATCTGTTGGATTCATGGCAAAATTACACCATCTTCAAGGTCTTTTATACATGAGAGTTGAGTTCTCAGTCATGAGAGAATGCAAAATAGCAGTTATAAAAAAACCATATTCCAGGAAATATGTTACACTGTATTACAAGCTTGGAAACTAATTATTTTGTTTATTATACAATCCTATCATCTCAGAGCTGAGTGATGGCTGAATAGGAATTTAACAAGAAGTAGACAAAAGGGGATGCAGACGGCAGTAAGAGGCTGACTGACTTAAGTGAAACTAATTATTCAGTTGCATAGAAACAATTTTCTGCTAAGATAAATGTCTGCAGTTGGGATGTTGATACATTTCTTGTATTCTTATACCTTTACAGTAACATTTAATGACAACCACACAGAAGGAGATTGTTTGAATTCAACATCTCACCAGCTTCACACGCCAAGATTCCTTGCTAATTATGTGACTTAATTTCTTTAATATATTCTTTTTTAGACTGATATCTCTTTTGGAGTACATCCGTGAAATGACACGCCATGTAATACTACTTAATTTTTAAATGTTTTTTTCTTTCTTAATCATAGGATTATGTTTACAGTGTGCTAGTTGAGTTCTGCCCTCAGAGCCACGCTCCATAAAGCATCCTATTCCCAAGCCCTTCTGAGCTGTGAGTGTGGCCATCAGCAGGCAGGATTTGTTCCCCCTTTTCTCCATGCTGCTTTGCTTTGACACATTTTAAGCACAGCCATAGCATTTGCAGCATAATTTCTTTTAAGTGGCATATTTTTAGAAGAGATCTACTGTGCATTGTTTTGGATGATACCTGTCATCTAAAAAGCCCCATTGCCAAACATGGTGTACTTTAAAAAACATTTGGTGAAATGGCTATTTTTAAAAGACACACATTTATCTGAGCAATTTGTTTGAAATTTTGTTCATGAGCATGAATTTACTTGCCACACATTTCATAGGCGTGGGTTATGAGCTGGAAAAAGATAAGATGGCGGGTCAGAGACAGTGATAGTAGCAGAGAGCTAATTCATGCTCAGAGCTGGCAAAGTAATATAACATCATTGTATTGTGGAAATTAGTGACAAAGCAAAATTATACTTTCAAAGGAAGACATTGAAATATTTTTAATTGACAGCTATGACTTTATAGCATACTAGAAAACAATACTGCTTCTGTTTTGTGCCAGTAATGAAGTCTTAATTCTCTAGAAGTTCATCAGAGCTTCTTGCTTAGAGCATTGCCAGGAAGGGCAGAGAACCTGCTCTAGTTTGCAGGAATGTCTGTGCTGTTCTATGGACTTTTGAGGGCGTTTTCCTAAGAATGT